TTTTTTTTCTATATAATTAGCTTAATAACATTAAGATATCAACAAGCATGATTAAAAATATCAAAATATTTCAATAAATATGAAAATATACTAAACTATACTTATTTATTTACATATAATCTTAAATTGGTTAATCCGATTAACCAAAAAAAATCAAAATTGAAACCTACCAAATTAACCGATTGGATCATAATTATTTTTGAATTAATCAAAAAATCAAATTAATCAAATCATTTTAACCAACTTTTTTTGATAAATTTGATAAAAATTAGTTTTAACAGAAAATTACTTACCTCTGATTGTATTCATTTATAAGGCAAAACAAAAAAAATGTTGATGCATATACATATAATTAATCATGTAATTTAAGGTAGGTACAATTTATCTTAATCTACAAGGTATCCAAGTGCATAAAAGCAGTCTTATTTGATATTAGACTTTGCAATTATTTTCAAGTTTTTTTTTTTGAATTGCATACAAACTTTAATGTTAGTTAATTTATCCGTAAACCATAAGCTTCATACTATTCAAGCATGTCATACACTTAAAAGGATGTTCATTTCATTACCGAGATGATTAACTTTATCTAAAGTCTAAAGCTTATATAAATCTTGCTATCCATAAACTGATAAAAAGACTCTTGCACTAGGCTAACACAATAATTTCAATTTGTGTACCAACTTTTTTTCTTTAGTTGAAATAACTTTAAAGCTTGTGTAAGGGAAAGTAGTTCTAGAAAGAGTGAAGGCAAGCCATTGTGGGCACTTCAATTAGTTGTCTTTTCAAGATCTCTTAGCCCAAGGTTTTGACTCGTATAAAAGCTTTGTAAAGTCACAATGGCAACAATCATAAGGAAGTGAATTTCCCCAATTAAATTGAAAATATCATATTGACCCTACCAACCAAACTCAAAACTTCATTTGCCCACAATTTGTGGGCGCAAATTTCATTAGACAAAAAAAAGGCACCACTCATTCCACAAAACAACAAAGCTAACCCCTTTTGAAATGGAAGATAACACAACATTGCACCATTTCTCTTTTTTTGGGGGGGCGGGGGGTTGGAAGGGGGTACTGAGTTCTGCTTTATCAGGACCCAATGCACAGTTATTTCCCATCTTACTTTACTTGGTCGGTCTTAAAAGGAGAAAGAAAAAAAAAAAAAGAGATATAGGCCACGTTTCCATTAAACTAACTTAAAGACAAAATGTGCCATGCCCCTTTTTATGTTCAAGATGACTTATCTGTCCCTATGTGCCCTCCACTTTTTATAATGAGGTTCGTGCTATGGGATGAAGAAGAATGTGAAGGACATGTTTGGCAATAATGTGAAAAGTTAGGGCTAGTTTTTTCTTTCGGCTGGGCGTGAAATTTGGAGGGAATAGATGGGGTTGGTTTCCCGAGGCGGTGGTTTTGACCAAGGCCGCAAGACAAACATGGCATAAAAGTACAGGTCCATTACGGACGCCGCGTACTATTAGCCCCTTGGTGACCTAAAATGTAAGGTATATATTTGCATTGCTCAACCTTAAAATTTCCCAAGCTAAAATGTTTGAAAGGGTGAAAGTTTGGATCTGTTTCTTCTATTGTATATAAAATTATTAATTTTATTTTTACGTAATATTTTAAAAAAATTTATTTTTTATTATATTTAATTATTTTTTATATTTTTATTTTAAATTAAATAAATTTTTAATTAATTATTGATTAATTATCATTAATTAAAATATAATTTTTTATTTTATTTCATATAATGTTAATATGATATTCTAATATATCATAATTAGTGTAAATGTGACATTCTAACTTATTATAGTAGATGATGACGTAATATGATAATAATATCACATAGCGTTTAACATTTTACGTCATAGTTATATAAATATAAATGATATTTTAATAAATAATACTAAGACAAATATCATAAAAGCATATTTAGATTAAAATAAAAGCACATAAATTTGATTGAATATAATAAAAAATAATAATTTTTAAAATGTTTTAAAATAATTTAAACTTTTTTAAAATATTATATATTTTATTGTTTTTATTTCATAGATTCGTTGAATTGATGTTTTTTATTTGTTAAGAATGAGTGGGAAAATTTAAGTATGGTTATGATTATGAAGAATTAAAGATCTAAATATAATGCTTAATTGTTTCGGGCCCTTAGTTTTGAACAGAAAAAAAAAAGATTAAAAGGATTAATTGAGCTTTACATTAATGATATGGATGCATGAATATTTATGGATATTCAAAAAATTAAACTTCTTTAATTTATTTTCTTTACCTAGATACATGAATAAGCCCTCACCAGTTAAAGCATTAATATATATTATTTCTATTTTTTGAAAAAAAATTAAAAATGTATTCTAACTTGCAGCTTTATTCAAAGTTCAAAGTTCATAAAATCACAATCACTTAAAAGGCAAAAATAAATCCAAGTGGCGACTTGGTGCAGGGGGGATAACAGCAATAAACATGATCTAGATGATTATGATTGATTTACTTGCAATGAATTTCATTTTCGAACGTGAAACAACAGTTCAAAGTAAGGGTCCCCTTCAGTATTTGTCACTTGTTTTTCTTAAAAAAATATATACCGATCAAATTATTAACTGAATATCACATCCTTCGTTGAGTTTGTCAAATTGAAAAAATTTAGGTGAATTTCGAGTACCACCTGTCTGTATAAACAGATAGAAACTTGTATTTCGGTCCAAAGCATACGTCTAGAAGGAAGATTTCTACAACATGAAATATTAAGTAGTCAATAAGACTAGAGATACATGCCATAGGCTTGAAACGTTAAGAGTATACGTAGGCGATCGTTTGCATCATTAATTATTTATTTATTACATTCATAGGGATATGCTTAGTCAAAGAAATTTATAAAATTTCCCTTTAAAGAGAAAAACAACATATGTACGCGCTTTCATTGAAAATATAGATCATGCTAATGCATTGATAATTAATTAATATATATATATATATAGTAGTATATCTATCTTCTACCAACAGCCGACCGGGAAAATAAGAAGGAAGCTTCCTATTTTCATCATTCGGCGACAATGACGAACATGTGCATGGGGACTAAGAGAGAATTATAACGAATGGTTGAGCACCATCATTTTGATCCCATATCTGTATACCCAAGCCTCGAATTTGGCAAAATCATTTTTGTTTTTTTTCTTAAAATTAAAAATAATAGCAAATTAAGATCATTAGTGAGATTCATGCCTATTTAGAATATTCGTGATTTAATAATGATCAATCATTCATAAGATTGGTTTACTAACTTATTCAATCTTCAGTTAATCGTTGCAATTATCATTAGCATAATCGTTGCAATTATCATTAGCATAAAGGTGAATGGAAGAAAAAGATTTAGATTTCAAATCTACTTAATCAAAATTATATTTGGAATGAAGATGAAGTTTATTTTATAGAAACCTAAACACATATAGTATTTGTTATTTTTTAAATATCTGACTTTGAATTTTATTTTTTGACAAGATATCTGAACTCTATAAATATTAAATTAAAATTTAAAATTGTTATTTGAACTCATATCTAGATATATTAGATAATACCCGTTAAATATTTAAATACATTTAATTACTCGATTGAAATAAATTTTAATTAATAAACATTGAATTAATAAACTAAAGTTAGTTAATAAAAAATTAAGTTAAAATTTAAAATTATATTTAAAATAATTAATGAATTTTAATAAATATTGCATCAAAAAATGATATAAATATAAAAATAAAATTTAATATTAAAAATTATTAGTTATAATCAAATTTAAATAATAGGTATCCTTAGACATATTCAAACTTTGGGTTCAGGACGCATAGCAGTTTACTATTCTAATCTTACCCAAATCCAATTATAAAATGCAATTTTGTTTTACTTAATTGGATCATATAATATAGGGTATTTGACTATAAGATATTCATGACAATTTGATCTTATTATTATTCTTTCTAATTTATAAGTTTATATAGGCTATAGTCCGTGTTAGAGCTTCTGATAATTAACATTTCTCTTTGTCAAAAAAGTTTCTTGACTTTCTTCTCCAAGCATTTATTTTCCTGGCGATCCCTTTTTACACCGTCCAAGTTAATTGTTTGACTGGGTGATTAACTCATCATTAATTTATCATCTACCAATCAAAATAATCCATGCTAACACCTTGCCTTCTAGAAATAAATTGAGTATTCGACAATGGATGAATATCCATAAAGTTCAGTGTTGGAGACTTTGAGTAAAGGTTATACTTATATATGACTTGTGGCACCAGATATACCCTGCTCTCTTTGAGTCTTGACTGGCTTATGCTCAACTTTCCTTGCAAGAGAAATGGCATCGAATCTTCTATGACGGAAAAAAAAAATTAGAAAAAGAAAATGTCAGTGTTCTTCTTCCTCATCTTTACCATTATGCAAGCACACCAATGCCACAGTTCTTAATGATAAAATATATAGCTTTTATTTCACCAATATTTTAAGTCCTTATCCAAAATTCATGTGACGAGTGTACTTGTATAGAAATTTAGTCGTTTAATCAATTAATTTAATTTTTTTTATAATTATACTTTCCTCCATCTTTTTCTCCACGTATCTTTTATCATTTCTACTTTTGAACTTTTTGAGTAAGTCTATTCAATCACATATTCAATAATGATCCTGCCATGTCAACACATGTTTAATATTACGTTAACAAAAAATATCAAAGCATTTCAATCAATATCATATTAGCTCGATCATATGTCAATTTTATACACTTAATAATAAAATTTTAACAATATTAAGGTTTAAATTAACATTAATAAATTTAAAAAGTATAAAAATTTAATATATATATAAATTGTTATACAGAGATTAAAATTATTGTTTTAATAAAATATAACGATTAAAAGCAAAATTTCGTTTTTTTTCATATAGAAGAGAAGATGGATAATTGGAGATGTGGGCGTCTTATCCTGAAAAACAGTACCTGCCTTTGTTAGGTATATGCAGTGGGCTCCATAAACCCTCCGGGCCCATGGGCCACTCATTACGCAATGGTCGATGTCCGACACAACCACAGCCAGACCTTTTGTATACAACAGTAACCGCCTTCACACTTACCCCCCTAGTAACAAAGTCTGGTTCCTTTTCAGCTCTATCAATTACCAAAGCTACATTAAGCATTAATCATAGCATAGAAATATTTTCCAGCTCGCTTGCATCAATTAATCTGTTTGTAGAACACTTCTTCCACTAGGAAAAATATTTGTTTGTAAAACGCCAGAAATGTGGCAATATTAATAGCTTGCCTATCGAATTAAGAACATCGATGGTGGTGAAAACGTTACGTTAAATCTAAACAATGTTGAAGAGGTGATACGTCTTATTCTTATAGTTGAATAGAAATTCGAAACAAAATTCATTCAACTCTGAAAACAGGGTATTATTGTACATCAGTTCTTGGGAAAGACTTAATACCAAGGTACTCTACAACAAAATTGAGGTCTCTCAAACTATAAAGTTTTCTTCAACTTTTTGCGCCAAGAGGCTTATAGTAACGGCTAAAGCACTTCAGAGAAGCCAAAGCATCCGCAAGGAATACCAAAGGAATGATAGGATCATTTTACAGAAGTAACCCAATATAGTCCTACATAAAATACTAGCATATAAGAAGGATTTTTAGAATATAAAAAAATGAAATGAAGACAAAGCTGACAATAGTAGAAGGATTGCTTCCTATTTTATTTTTAGATTGCATTCGGCATGAGGAACAAAAGCACTTTCTGTTTTTGTTATCTGCTTTATTTTCATGGAAAACAGAGAAACAAATGTTTAGATTATTTTCAGTTTTCTGTCATCTAAAACCAATTTCATTTTCAATCTGCATACACATTTTTGCAAGGCTTTTGTATTCTCTATGTAAATGAGAATAGCAAATGGCAAGTAGGAACAACTTCAGAAACAAAACACACCCTCACTCTGTTGTGAAACTAGTATCCTTCAAAAGCAAAAATTGAGATCAAAGAATGCATTAAGATTATAAAATAGCTATAACATGCTGGCGCACCTATTTCTCCTCCAGAAGATGTGTGGTGCAAGAAAGAAGTGATGATAATTCCTCTTGGGTTGCCAAACCAAAGCCTTGCCATCTTACCCTACCAAGTTTGTCAAGCAGGAAAATATACCTTCAAACAGATAACAAAAACATATTTTTAGACCAACAGTAACATATGGATAATGATGTTATAGATTTGGATATAAAAAACTTTTAAATACCCAGTTAGAAGGTTCAGTATCTTCAGTTCCTTTCTGAAGTAATAATGGTCACCAAATGAATAGACAATCTGCCTCTGAAGAGCATCCTTCTCACCATCAATAGACTTCCTCATGGTTCGAAGAAGCAGCCGTTTAATTGGATTCCGGCATAAGAGCCATGAGTCTATAAATGACACCTTATACCACAAAATTTATTTAGCAACACATAAAATTATAAAACATGATTATTTAATTAATAACTTATTAGCGACATTGATGGGCACCAGAAATTCCATAACTTGACCTTCAGTAAATAAAGAAACAACTCCCTCATGATTGCAGGCTAATGCCCTTGAAGCTCATGTTCTAAGGTGATATAGTTAGGAGGATCATAAGTCAAACACTACGCTAGTTCTCTTTCATTTTTATTTTAGAGTTACAGATTCACTGAATCAATTTATCTTTGATCCAAAAAAAAAAAAA